TGTTCCGGTTTGATGCTATCATAATTGGCAGTCAAGGCAGCAATGGCACACCCAGACTCCGAAACCTCGTTCCTAGATAATTTCCGCATTCCCAGTTACCTAATTGCCCCCGATTCGGAGGCTAAGAATGATTCGATTGTACCTCAGTGTCCAGTTTTGGTGTTCATCAATTCGAAGAGTGGCGGTCAGCTGGGAGGTGACCTCCTCGTAACATATCGTTCTCTTCTTAATGAACACCAGGTACTTTCATTCACACTTCACATGCAATTGGTCATGCTTTTGCAATTCGCGCTTTGATTTAAATCACGAACAAAGCTTCCTCCTGCAGGTTTTTGATCTGGGAGAAGAGGCTCCAGACAAGGTTTTGCGCAGAATCTACTTAAATTTGGAAAAGCTGAGATCCGATGGGGATGACCTTGCCACTCAGATCCAGCAGAAATTGAAAATAATCGTTAGTATGATATACTTGAGGTCTTAACTTGCTTAATACATGTTATCAAACAGCCACATTCAGCTTATAATTTCAAGGATTTGAGTACTTGCTTACTCTTTTCTGCACACCAGGTAGCAGGTGGCGATGGGACGGCGGGTTGGCTTCTTGGAGTTGTCTGCGATCTCAAATTATCTCATCCTCCTGCAATTGCGACGGTGCCCTTGGGTACTGGAAACAACCTCCCTTTTTCATTTGGATGGGTAGGCACATATATATCTCTGCCTCATTGATTTGCCACAATTATAATCCATTAAGTTCTTAAATGTTTGTGTTAATGAGGCTGATCCTCTTGGCTAGTCTTCTTTCTTTCTGTTTTTCTCCTCTGCAATGTCAAATAGATTTCACGACTTTATTATTGAAGTTAAGCATGCCAAATTAACAACCAACGAGAAGTAGTTTACATCAATTCTCTTGATTAAACCAGGATAGTCACATGCAATGTCTAACTATAAGGTTGATGTATAAAAATAAAAGATTGACCTTGCTTTTGTCACAGGGTAAGAAGAATCCTGGGACTGATGGTTCATCAGTTGTGTCGTTCCTCAAGCAAGTGATTCTGGCAAAGGAGATGAAAATCGACAGGTACTAAATGCCATGCTGGAATTGCTGCTGATCAATCTGAATCAGTTACAAGTATTACTACGCATACAGCTGCTGCTGAGTGAGCCATGAAATCAGTGTATCAGAATGATCTTGAACTGAATAGCAATTTTGGATGCATTGTGTGGCCCTTTTTGGGAACAGGGGTTCTAGTGATGATGAATTGTCTTTCACCTTTTTTTGGTTCATTGCCGTCGTTAAATATCAAACTGCGTCTTGCAATTCAGCTGGCATATTTTGATGAGGATGAGAGCTCCCAAAGAAGGTTCCTGTGATCCCATTGCACCCCTTGAACTACCGCATTCTCTGCATGCTTTCCAACGTGTTTCTTCAACAGATGAACTGAACATGGTAACTTATCCGTGTCTTGGGCACCACCTCTCTATGTTTTTAATTCTTCAAGCCTACTCTATCGAGAATGTATCTTCTTGGAAAGCAAGGTGGTTCTTTGTCTAGTATTCTTAATTAGAACTTTCTACTCTGGCAAGCACTTTTAGGATCAAGATAGCCTATATTGTTTCGGAGTCAACTAAATGCTAATGCCAAAATTCTTTTGGCATGCAAAGATACTGCACCTGTGTGCAGCCTATGAGCACTTCTAAAGACGAGCTTGATCATACTGCAGATAATAAAAAGGAGCTATCCTATAGGACCTTGGGCCAATGAAACTATTCAGGGAATTGGAAAAAGGGAGGAAAGCTTGTTTCATAGTAATATATACTTCTGAAAGAAGCTAATTTTAGATAAAGCTTTTGCATGGCTTTTGGAACTCAATGCAACAACTGGTTGTCAAGAAAAGAATTATAGAACTTTTTAGTCAAGTAGTAACTTCTCCATACCATCCCATCTTGTTGTTCCTTTTCTAATCTATCATTTACATGAAAAAAATACTTAATTTTCGTGAATGGATTCAACTTGTAACAGGTGCCTAAATATATAATCAATTTGTCATGTGATATATCATCTCGTCTTTAGCTCAAAGTGGACAAGGACCCGGAAAAATCTTAAGTAGCTATTGGGCATTCCCAGCAAAAAGCTCACAATCTATCCATGGTGGAAGATTACCAGAATCTAAAATCTATGTGGAAATCTGCATCTTTTTTGTTTTTGCATTTTCTCTGATTACTGTAAATTACTCGGTAATGCTCTTTTCCTTGTAACAACTTGGAACCACTTCTCAGGAAGGTTACCACACATTTCGTGGGGGATTCTGGAATTACTTTAGCATGGGTAAGATCTTATAGTTTTTCCAGTATCTTTTTTCTTCCTTTCTTTTGCTCCAGATGATAATGTGGATGCTTGATTTTTGCCCTTAACACTTTTTCGATCCAAGAGAAACTTAAGAAGCACTTTCTACAGGCATGGATGCTCAAATATCGTATGCATTTCATTCAGAGAGGAAGATGCATCCTGAAAAATTCAAAAATCAGTTGATTAATCAGGTACTTTTGCTGTCTTCATCACTTACTAGGATGGATTTTGGAGAAGTTGGAAGGATTGATGCTTTTGTTTGTTGCTTGAATTTAATGGAAAATGCATATAAAATGGTCTTACTGTATATTACTGTGATAAAATCTGCTTTTCTTTTCCCTGTCAGTGCACATAATCATACAGAGATTGGTCACTCTGACTTCTCTAGTTTCATTTGCAGAGTACTTATGCAAAGCTTGGGTTTACTCAAGGATGGTTCTTTGCTTCTCTTGTTCATCCTTCTTCACGGTAAATATATAGATGCATTGATCTTTTCTGTGTTTCAGTGCAATGCATGTCTCTACTGGTGACTTTTTGGTCATCAGCTGTTTCAGAGTAGTTGCAAGTGGTTTATAACTTTGGATAAAAGATAGTCCAGTGAGACTTGGCTTCAAAATGAAATTGTATATCTCCATGGGTATCCTACTTTTCAAGATACTTTAGGCTTTTGAATCTTCCAGTGAGATCTTTTGGTTAAGAGAAATTTCTCCTGCTAGGCTCTACATTATAAGGAAGGTGACCAAATCATTTGGATTGTTGTCCAGATAAATTAGGAAGATTGTCATTGCTGAGATTGGATAGTTTTTTTTCGCATTGGCCATAGCCTATAGGAATCTGTAGGTTAATCAGTTCAGAAATTTTGTCTCTTTGATAGGCTCAATAGTAGCTTCTAATCGTCACAATTCTTTTCTTTTCCCATCTTCCGGATAGAAACTCTGGTTACGGTCAGCTCTTTGTTGTTGTTGTGAAAGTAGCATAACCTTTTCAATACAGGAATATAGCTCAGCTTGCAAAAGTGAAGATTATGAAAAGACATGGTCAATGGCAAGATCTCCACATACCACACAGGTAAGCTCGCCTCTTCGTGATTGAATCAACTGAGCCACAGTTTATGTAGCAACAAAAATGAAATTCAGCGTGTCTAGGCATTCATTCGGAGACTTGTCCTATCAATTTATTCCTTGAACGTATGCATTCCTTTTTTCACATCTCCATGCATTATGAAGTTCTTGGTAAGCGTGGATGCTCATGACAATGAGTTTGTCCATCATTTAACTGTGACTAATTAGTTATTTCCTATTTCTGGTTGTACATAATGGATATATTTGATCCTGCACTAAAGACTGACACTTCTTGTACTTTCTTCTTCAGCATTAGGTCAATTGTTTGTCTCAACTTGCCCAGCTTTTCTGGTGGACTGAATCCATGGGGGACGCCAAACAGCATAAAACGGAGCGATGTTAGTACTGACTTGCTCGATTTGTGTCATTGGCAGAGTGAAAGAACTATAGTTGTCTCTTTAAACCAAAAGTAATTGGAAAAGCTACCTTTGCAATTGCTATAACCTATTCTAATTAAACCATTATATGCAGAGGGACTTGACCCCACCTTATGTCGATGATGGTCTCCTCGAGGTCGTCGGTTTTAGAGATGCCTGGCACGGTCTTGTATTGCTTGCTCCACATGGGCATGGGACTCGTCTTGCTCAGGTAAAATCTGAAGCTGGGATTTTGCGTTCTTTCTGGATGAGTCTTGAAATTAGCAACTCTCTTTGACTAGAATCTAAGATTTATGGTGTTGCTGTTGGATAAAAAGGAAATGCGTCCTTCAATAATTCTTCCCATTTTGTACTAGGCACACCGCATCAGGTTCGAGTTTCACAAAGGCACGGCCGATCATACATACATGAGGATTGACGGGGAACCGTGGAAGCAACCGCTACCCCTGGACGATGACACTGTTGTGGTGGAAATTTCTCACCTTGGTCAGGTGAACATGCTCGCCACCCACGATTGCCGGGCCAAGAGTGTCCATGATCCATCCACACCGAGCCACCACGACGACGAGGACGATGACAGTGGTGAAGAAGATTCAGGGGAGGAGTTCAGGAAGTTCGGGGCGGCCGAAACTTTCAAACTCCCAGATGAGCTTGACATTAGCCGTCTTAGTTGATATCTCTAGTTTCCTTCTCCTTGATTCTTTGTCTAACTACCGCTCATGGGAATAAACGACCTTTGGTTATTCATCTCATTGTTCATACATATGCAACTGGAGACCTTTTGACACCTTATTGCTGCCTCAAGTTTGCGATTAACATGTTGCAGACATCCGTATTGACAGTGTCCATATTTTCTTCTCTCCATAAATTATCCCGTTAGTTTCCAATCATATGGTCTATAAATTTAGAAGGCCTTTACTATCTCTCAGTCATTTGGCCTTTACATGTGTGATCTTTCAAAGTAGAGTTTCTCTAGCCGACTCGTGTGGTGTTCTGATGCCGATTTTCTTTGAATTCTCTTTGCTGTATCAAGTAATGTCATTATCATTTTGTTGGAGCTTCGTTTCATGAAGAACGCCTCATTTTGAGATCATGTTTGTATCTATGTACTCGATCAAAGTTAAGCTGGCAAAACCGACCATGGCCGAAAATCAGATCTATATACGGCACAAGTTTCATTGCACTTGCAGATGATAATTACAGGAGCCTAACTATTACTAAATACGGGAGAGGCTACATGAAGAAAACCATGTTCAAAATAAAGCTTAAATCAGATGAGGACCCCAGCACATAAGGTGCATGACCTTGTCAGCCTTCTCGGCCTCCCTGAGCCGGCGGCTTTCGTCCATCATGGCAGCCGTCTTCGCGGCATCTCTGCTGCCAGAAACCCATCTGAACTGAGAAGGCTTGCCGGCCGATGATTCCGTGTTGCTTGTCGCTTGGGACGGCTTGATTCCAAAAGGCATGGTCTTCGAGCTCCGAGGATGGTCCTTTATTAGCCCCTGGACGGCCCTCATGCACACTCTGCTCATGTACCTTAAGCTCATCCCGCGGTCGACCGAAGAAACTGACCGAAGATCAAGAAGGTCGCGTGGTCCTATGAAACGTACGTTGCGTCTAGTTGCTGTCTGTGAACAGATATATACGTGGCACTGAATGCCCCATGATTTGCCCACTCCGTGTCCGCAAGCGAACAGGAATATAATAGTGGTTTTCTTCCACTGATTTAGGCGCTGCTGGATTTAGTAAACAAAAGAAAAGTCGTTCCCAGCACTGAGCCAGCGGACCCCCACCACCCCAGGTTTCCGGATTCTCCTCCCATGCAAAACCATTTGCTCTCAGAATGCAAACGCCGACAAGTTTTGGGCTCGCCGCTTGTTTCAACGTCACGTCACCAGTCAGTATCACCGCTCACCATCCAAATAAAGAACTCCCACCGCTCTGATCTTCTCCATCCAATAATCATCACTTCACTTCCACGCACCATCAGAAACGCGCCACCGAACCGAATCAAATCCTAAGATGAGGTCGACGAGCAGAACGTGGGTCGTGGCGGCCAGCGTCGCCGCCGTGGAGGCCCTCAAGGACCAAGGACTCTGCCGGTGGAACTACACCCTCCGGTCGATCCACCAGCGTGCCAAGAATCGGGCCATGTCCTCGTTCTCTCAGGCCAACAACAGCAAGAAACGATCTCCTCGGTCGTCGTCCGCGGCAGTCTCGAGGAGGCTAGCCGGAGAAGCGGAGGCGAAGTCGGAACGGTCGATGCGGAAGGTCCTGTACTTGAGCACTTGGGGTCCGTGTTGAGGTTGTTGTCTGAATAGCAGTAGATTAGATCGAGAAGGAAGTCGAAGTTCGTTGCTGAGAATGGATGTAAATTGTCAATACATGCTGAAATTACAACAGACAATATATATTACGTGAAAAGACTTTTCCATCTGCACCGTGGCTTATTCACTCTGTTCCTAATACTTGTCATACACCAATTTTAAATGGACTTCACATGATCAATGACTTTAATTGACCCGGCTTATGTCGTATAAATACGGATCCATTTTCCTATCGTAAGCTAACATTTGATATGCGAGAAAAAATCGGAGGTTGTTAACGGATAAATATGTATTTGAAATTGATGTGTAATATGCATTGTACAGATATTCATTTACCATATTGCAAATGTCTCTTGTGATCAACGGTGCTAAAGGAAGTACCTTTTTCTAGTGAATCTAATGTAAGTAACCTAGGCAAGGTGACGTAGCATTTGATGTGTAATTAGGATCTATTTGGTGATTTGCTCTATTTGATGGTTTGTGAGCGCCACTCAGTAATTGACATGGCAAGCATTGGATTGACACGTACATGCTGACATGGATTTAGATGAACAGAATAAAAAAATCTCCATCCACCTCACTTTTACTCCTCCATCTCCGTCCACCTTGAGCGTAACCTCCGCCCCTCCCTCTGCAATCACCACTAGCGGAGTTGCTGGCACAGCGTCCAAGGCGACCACTGTCGGGCGTGTCCAACCCTCTCCATCTTCTTTGTGGTCGACGTTCCTTTCCTTAACTTTGTTGCCACAGATGAATTTGGATTCATGGGACGGAGTTGCGGATTTGGAAGTCGACCACCGTCGCCTTCAGCCATGGACGAGCCGCTATCTCTAGAGCCATGGTTACAAATCCGGAAGTCCTGCCAAGGCCATGGACAAGCTGGTATGGCCAAATCTGAAGGGAATCTGGAAGCTCGACGTTGGCGATAGAGGTCGCGGCGGGGATGGAGTGGTCCAAATCTGAAGACATTTGGACGCTCGCCGTCAGATCTTGACCTTCAGGTGTGGAAGTTCGATGTCGGGATCTCAACCTCGCTGGTCGCTGTCATAGACAAACCTTTCCCATGCTCGGAGAAAACGAAGACAAACAAGAGCTTCAAGCCTCACTTTTTCCTTCTCTTTTTTTTCTTTTTGTGTTTTGTTTTCAAGTTGCATTGTCCGAAACAAGCATCACAGGACTTGAAGAGTAGCCTTCAGATCTGAGCTTGGCCAAACCATTAGATGTTGAGCTATCGTGCTCGCGGTCATGGCTCCAGATCTGGAACTTATGGCCTCAAGCTCCACATCTGGAGCCATGGCCGCGAGCAACGATGGCTTGTTTCGCGCCGGCAACCGTGGACGGCCAGGTCTCAAGAGCCGGCCAAAAAGACACCGGAACGTGGCGCCGATGGTCAGGGACAATGCCTAGGTTCGGAGAAAGAAGTGGGTGAAGGATGAAGTAGAGAAAACTTAGACTTTTATTTACTTTAATTCAACTCAGCAAACACATATCTGTCAATTATTGAACATGAATAAACAACGCCCTCAAGCAAACTCTGCTCATGTACCTTAAGCTCATCACACGGTCGACCGAAGACACTGACCGAAGATCAAGAAGGTTGCGTGGTCTTATGAAACGCACGTTGCATCTTAGTTGCTATCTGTGAACAGATATATACATGTACTGGAATGCCCCATGATTTGCCCATTCCGTGTCCCCAAGCGAACAGGAGTATAATAGTGGTTTTCTTCCTCTGATTCAGGGGCTGCTGGATTTAGTAAACTAAAGAAAAGTCGTTCGCAGCACTAGGCCAGCGGACCCCCACCACCCCAGGTTTTCGGATTCTCCTCCTACTCAAAACCATTTGCTCTCAGTTGCAAATGGCGACAAATTTTGGGCTCGCCCCTTGTTTCAACGTCACGTCACCAGTCAGTGGCACCACTCACCATCCATATAAAGAACTCCCACCCGCTCTCATCTTCTCCATCCAATCATCACTTCAGTTCAACACACCATCAGAAGCACAAGATCGAACGGCATCAAGTCTGAAGATGAGCTCGACGAGCAGAGCGTGGGTCGTCGCCGCCAGCGTGGCCGCCGTGGAGGCCCTCAAGGACCAAGGATTCTGCCGCTGGAACTACACCCTCCGCTCCATCCACCAGCGCGCCAAGAATCGGGCCGTGTCCTCGTTTTCTGAGGCCAGCAGCAGCAAGAAGCGATCTCCTCAGTCGTCGACCGCTGCGGCGGCTTCGAGGAGGCTAGCGGGAGATGCGGAGGCGAGGCGGTCGGAGGAGTCGATGAGGAAGGTCCTGTACTTGAGCTCTTGGGGTCCCAATTGAGGTTCTCCGAATAAGTAGATTAGGTCGAGAAGGAAACCGAAGTTGGTTGCTTAGAATGGATGTAAATTATAAATACATGCTGCAATTACAGCAGACAATATATATTACGTGAAAGGACTTTCCCATTTGCACTTATTCACTCGTTCCTAATACTTGTCATACACTTATTTTCATCGGGGTTCACATGATCTAACAACTTTTCTTCTTCCTTCCTTTTCATCTTCGTGCTCTTTTCTCCTCTCTTCCTTGCCTTTTGTCATTCCTGTCGACGATCCTTAGTCCTGTCGATTTTTTTGCTCTGAGCTAATTCCGGTGGCATGCGTTTTTGTCGGTTTCATTAACTACGTTTGAGGTCTCGACGGAGAGGGTTGTATCAGGGAAGCCTGCACCCTGAAAACCGTTAGAATCTCAGGGGGTTCATCTTCCTTAAACTTTTCAATGTCCGTATCGAAAAGCTGACGCATAGTCCTTTTAGCGAATAATTCAAGCAAAACCTTGTTTAGAGAGAAAAATCTCGAAATTCAATATTGATGATAATAATGTTCTGTCTTCAAAACAAACCCTAAACACCCTTTTATAGGGGTTAAACCTAATTACAATAGGAAACCTAATCATAATAGGAAAGTTACCTAATCTGAATTGGAAACCTAATCATAATAGGAAATCTAATCATAATAGGAAAGTTAATAAGCATCAAGTAGCAAAATTACAAAAACGACCCTTAAAATTAACTCATAAAAAAATACTAAAATAATAGAAAAAAAACCATCTAATCGCATCACCGTTTCGCTTTCCGTTTGGACTTCTGTTTGTCCAATCGGTCCAGAAACGCACCATTAATAAATTCCGCATCGAAAGCTCTCCACCATAGTGAGACCACAAGCTCTCGAAGTACATAGTAGATTGAGGATTTTGAGCAAACGAGAAGCAGTTGCATCGATCGAAGATTTCTTGAATAATGTTGAGCAACACCCGAAGCTTCATCATCTCTATAGTTGTTTTTCTTAGTAAATGGAAATTCTGGGGAATAAGAGGATCGAAAGCTCCATCTATAGTTGTTTTTCCTAGTAAACGGAAATTCTAGTGAATGATCGGCGTGGGGATTCCTTGAATAAACTCGAGGTGTTTGGCAGTATTGGAGTTTACTAAAATTTAAGTCCTAAATTTGTCATGAAAATGTAATCGAGTCCTCAAATTTTCGAAAAGTGTAAACATATCCTAAAATTTGTCATAGAAGTACGATTGAGTCCTAAAACTTTAAAAAATGTGCAATCAAATTTTTGAAAATTGTCAAGTTTGTGTAATCAAATATTTCCATTAACTCCGTCCAACTCGACAAACGGAAAATGCCAATAATTTTTAAGACTCAATTGACCAACTTAACAAATTTTAGAACTCAATTACATTTTCATAATAAGTTTTAGAATTTTTAATGCATTTATCCCTACTTTATTTTATCTCTTTCTGTGCGTACGAGGGTGAGTTTGTAGGTTCCCCCCCCGCCCCCCGCCATGGCACTACTGACGCGCCGCTGGTTTAGAGAGAGATATATGAAGGAGACGGTGTGTTGTGGAGATAGCGGCATTTAATGATGAACATGTCCTCGTAAATCACCTGATACCATTCCTCTGTCCTCCGCCATTATTCCATGCATGTAAGCGCTAAAACTGATATTAACTCTGTTCGAAGCTACTTCTGATTTTTGACCTTTTCTTCTGCTTTTTATGTTTGGTCCTTGTTGTTGCGTCTCTTGTGGTCTGCTATGATACTCTGTTTTTGTTTTGGGCGTTCGCCTTTGTGTCAGTTGTAGTCAAAGACAATTCAACGCCTACTTCCCGCGCTCCTTCGCCCAGGTCCAGCCTTGTCTTCCGGACATCTCCGAGCTCCTTCGCTTTGTGAGGACCTCCGCGAGCGCGAGTCGGTCCTTGAGCACAAGCTCGTACAAGAGACGGCGTGGCTCGTTTCGGGTGCTCGAGGGCATAATCTGTTCCAAGAATGCTGAGATTGCCAAGTCGATGACGCAGATTGAAGAACTCCAAGTGTCAAACAAGAGGATGGGACGCGTGCGGGAGATGTCTAGAGCTAGGTTGGAGGAAGAGAAGACGATGACTCCAGAGCAAAGGGGGAGAGAGAGAAGAGAGTCTAAGCCCTAGTGGGTTGGAAATGGGTTCACTTTAGAATCATTTAGATCTATTTATTTTTAGGCTTTAATTTTAAAATCCATTATAATTAGGCCTTTCAAAATTTGAAGTAATCCATGTGTGATCCATTCCAACAAATTCTGGTTATATATTGCTTTACCACCCATTCTGACGTCTAATTAAAGCCATCGAAAAAACTTGAGGTCAAAAAAAAAAAGGGAAAGCCCTAAATCAAGGAGATTTCTTGGACCGAACATACTCCAAAATGAAGTCCTCGTGAACAAAGAGATTTTCCCACAAAGGACCAGAAAAACAAGAGTTGAAAGATTGAGAAACAAGAGTACATTTAAAAAAAGATTTGAGAATAACCTAGTCATCATCGACCACAACCTTCCTATTTAAGAAGATGGAGGTGGAAAGTTTGATTTCCCAACTCTCTACTTTTTTAGGGCGATTAGAAGTAGAGACGTTTACTTTCAGACGTAAGTTTTAACTTTCATGTTCCATAAAAAGATAAAGTAAAAATTTGAAAGTAAATTGAAAGTTAAAATATAACAAATAAAACAACAATGATCATGGCCGATGAGAATCCCAAGAAAGAAATTGTCACGTTTAACTCCTTCAGTTTGGTGAAGCTGAGTCAGGTACGGCGAACAGGAATACGATGGTGGTTTTCTTCCTCTGATTCAGGCGCTGCTGAATTTAGTAAAGAAAGAAAAAGATAAGGTCATTCCGAGCACTAAGCCAGCGGACCCCCAACGACCCCAGTTTCGGGATCCTCCTTTCTCCACTCAAAACCATTTGCGCTCAGGATGCAAATCACGACAAATTTTGGGCTCGCCCCTTGTTTCACCGTCACCTCACCCCATTGGCATCACCACCACTCACCATCCCTATATAAAGAAGTCCCACCCGCTCTCATCTTTCTCCATCCCAATCATCATCAATTTCACTCCCATAACACCATCAGAAGCACAAGATCGAACGGAATCAGGTCTGAAGATGAGCTCGACGAGCAGAGCGTGGGTCATCGCCGCCAGCGTCGCCACCGTGGAGGCCCTCAAGGACCAAGGATTCTGCCGCTGGAACTACACCCTACGGTCGATCCACCAGCGCGCCAAGAATCAGGCCAGGTCCTCGTTTTCTCAGGCCAACAGCAGCAAGAAGCGATCTCCTCAGTCGCCGGCCGCCGCGGCGGTTTCGAGGAGGCTAGCGGGAGAGGCGGAGGTGAGGCAGTCGGAGGAGTCGATGAGGAAGGTCCTCTACTTGAGCTCTTGGGGTCCCTACTGAGGCTCTCTGAATAAGTAGAGTAGATCGAGAAGGAAATCGAAGTTGGTTGCTGAGAATGGATGTAAACTGTAAATACATGCTGAAATTACAGCAGACAATATATATTACTTGAAAGGACTTTCCCCATTCGCACCGTGGCTTATTCACCCTGTTCCTAATACTTGTCATACGCCTATTTTAAATTGGTTTCACATGACCAACGACTTTGATTAACTCGATTTGTGCCGCGTAATTATGGGTTCATTGCCCTGTCATATGCGAACAATAGATATGCGAGAAAAATATCGGACTTTTACTAGGTTATTAACGGATAAATTTGTGTTTGAAATTGATGTACAACATGTAGTGTACAGAGATTCATTTACTAAACTATTTTGCAGATGTCTCTGGTGCTAAAGGAGGTACTTATTTCTACTGAATCTAATGTAAGTATGATCAAGGACTATTGTACACAAACCGAGTCCGCCGGAGATGGAGATAGGTCTTTCGTGCGAGGATATGTAGCAAGGGTTCAAAGAAAATTATATTTTATGGGACTCAGTATAAAGGTAACCTGTTTGGAAATTCTTTGATTTGCAGAAAGATGAGGTTCAGCACTGATGGTGTTACAATATTGAAACTTTTAAAATAAATGAAAGTGCTTCCACACCATTTTATATGTTATTAGGGCAGAATGTCCCGAGCAATTTTACGTTTTTAGGTCAAAGTTCAACCTATACATGAGAGAAAGTGTTGGAATATTTAAGTATCAGTAGCAAGAAATCCTCTGAAATAGAGATGATGATGACCTGTTTAAATATTTAAACGAATTGAACATAAATACAATATTATCCAATCCTTTTAAAATGGGAATATGTGAAAAAAATAAGCAACCTTTAGTAATAGACAATGGTAAGATTTGATTGGTTAATCAAGAGTCCGGTAAAAAAGGATACTCAAAGGGCACGGGTGAATCGACAACTACATCACGCGGTTATTGACAACGAGTAGAGAATGATTGACAAGTACCGTGGCTTAGTGACAAAGCTTGTGAGTGGTCAATCGTCATAAATTTTAAGAAAAATGACACAAATGGTCCAATGAACTTTGAATTAATGTGCAACGTCGTCCATAAATTTTTAATTTATTTAATGTGGTCTTTGAATTTTTTGTACCTATTTATTTTGGGCCATGTAAAATATTTAATATTGTATATGAACTTTTTGTACATATTCAATTTAGTCCTTGGGTTATATAAAAATGTTCGACGTTGTCCCTAAATTTGAATTAATGGAAAGATAATATTGGATATCTTTATATAGTTTAGAGACTACATTATACAAAGTAAAATTTCAAGGATGACATTGTACATTAAGTGAAAGTTTAAGGACTTTTTGTATAATTATCCCTCAATTTTACTAAGTGGTGGGCATGGAGAATATTGAGTATTGAATAGGAATGCCCAATGGTGGCACCAATACCAAGTGATAGTTATCTCGATGAGCTAGAAGATTGTAATTGCTTGTGGACAAGAACCGTGTAGTGGTGGCCATAGTGGAGCAATAATCGCTTACGTGTCGCTGTCGCCCTGTAAATTATAAATACTTGCATGTGTGTATTGCATATGGAGGCCCTTTATAAACTTGACATCAAATCGATGAAATTTAACTTTCCATCTACTTTGTTCACCGTATTTTTGCTTTTTCTAGTACTTCAAACTCTAGAATTTATTTTGCATCCATTTTCAATTTTAACCTTAGTAAAATTTTCATTATCACAAAAAACCAAAATTAACCTTTGGTTAAAGATATTCCACTTTCTAGTTGAAACTCCCACTTTTCGATGAAACACAAAGGGACAATGACACAAACGGTCTCTGAATTTTAGCTCAATGTGCAATATAGTCTCTGAACTTTTAATTTGTTTAATGTCATCCCTTGATTTATAGTACATGTTCAATGTAGTCCCTAAACTTGAATTAATGTAAGAATACATTGAACATTTTCATATAGTTCATGGACTACATTGAACAAATTAACAAATTAAAAGTTCAGGGACCACGTTACATATTTAGCCAAAGTTCAGGAACTATTTATGTCATTTTTCTCAAACACGAATATGGCATTTTCTTTCTTTTAATGGATTTCTTTCCCGGGTTTAGATAAACTGCATTCTCTGTTCTTACTTATTTTTCTTTGGATTTTGCTTCTCGTCTTTCTTTTTGTTTTTCCTAATGAAGCGCACGTTGCATGTAGTTGCTATTTGGGTGCGGATGTATGTACATGTGTACCGAGGACACCATGATTTGGCCCATTCCGTGTCCGAACGTGAGCAGGACATGGCCCCGCCGCCCCCACTCAAAACCATTTGCACCCGGAACGCAAACCGCGACGAATTTGGGGGCCTCGCCTCTTGTTTCATCGTCGCCTTTACCGATCAGTATCGCCATCCCCTCTATAAAGAGTTCCCACCCGCTCTCGTCCTCTTCATCCCCATCGTCATCAACTTCACTTCCACAACACCATCAGAAACGCGCCACCGAACCGATTCAGAGTCGTAAGATGAGCTCAACGAGCAGAGCGTGGGTGGTGGCGGCCAGCGTCGCCGCCGTGGAGGCCCTCAAGGACCAAGGATTCTGCCGCTGGAACTACACCCTCCGCTCCATCCACCAACAAGCCAAGAATCGGGCCAAGTCCTCGTTTTCTCAGGCCAACAGCAGCAAGAAGCGATCACCTCAGTCGTCGGCGGCGGTGGCTTCGAGGAGGCTAGCGGGAGACGTGGAGGCGAGGAGGACGGAGGAATCGATGCGGAAGGTCCTCTACTTAAGCACTTGGGGTCCGTATTGAGGTTGTTCTCTGAGTAGCAGTAGATTAGATCGAGAAGGAAATCCAAGTTCGTTGCTGAGAATGATGTAAACTGTAATTGTACGCTGAAATTACAGCAAGGCAATATATATTACGTGAAAGGACTTTTTTCCATCTTTTTAGCAAAAAAAAAGGACGTTTTCCCATTTGCACTATGACTTATTTACTCGTGTGTAACAACGTGATTCATCGACACTTTGATCGACCCGGTTCGACTAGAGACGGAGGGACGACTGACCTGTTCATGCGCGAAAGAAATGGCTTTCTGTCGAGGGTGAGGAAAGCAATGAAGCATACGTAGATTTGATTTGAATCGTGTATAAGATATAGAAGTTTGGTCACTAAAGTTTGTAAATGTGCCATGAGAGTGGAAAAGAAGTAAGCGGTAAGGACGAAGGATGTTTGGCTTAAGGAGAATCATGCTTTTGCACCAGAGTTAAATCATAAGGGGAACTATTTTCACCCTAATTTTGGATGAAACCATACTTTTTTTTTTAATTTAAAGTGACAAAAACATAGTTATGTTATCAATATTAAATCATAATACATTAACCATTCGGGGTTGCCCCATGGTCACCATTCCCATGTGGGAATGCGGAGGTCGGAAGGGGGATTCTGGGTTTCCCAAGTGGGTCTAGTAAGTGCCTGCCCCCGATCCTCAAAAAAGAAAAAGAAAAAAGGAGGTGCTCCACAAGGTCAAAAAAAATCATGAGATATCAAAATTCTCTAATTCCAGATTTAGATCAAATGAGATTTAGTCCGTGCATGTAAGCGCTAAAACTGATATCACCTCTATTTGAAGTTGCTTCTGATTTTGCGCTTGTTCTTCTGCTTTTTATGTTTGGTCTTTGTTGTTTCGTCTCTGGAGGTATTAATCTAGTATACTCTTTTTTTTGGCATTTGCCTTTGTGCCGGTTGTAGTTGGAGACGATACGGCGCCTATTTCCTGGGCTCCTTTGCCCAAGTCTATCCCTGTTCGCCGGACATCTCTGAGCTCCTCCACTTCGTCAAAAATCTCCGCGAGCGCGAGTTGTTCCTCAACCACAAGCTTGTACGAGAGACGGCGTCCCTCGTCATGGTGCTCGAGGGCGTGATCTGCTCCAAGAATGCTGAGATTGTCCAGTCGGTGAAGCGGATCTAAGAACTCAAAACATCAAACGAGAGGCTGAGACGCGAGCTAGAGGCATCCAGAGCTAGGTTGGAGGAAGAGAAGATGTAACGACCCGATCCGAAGAAGGCGGGAATTGGTTGCTAGGGCTAGAGAGCTCGGACAAGGAGCGGCTCCTAGCAAGTTTAAAGGATAGTGAATTTGGCAAAAATGAACCAAATTGCATGCCGAACATATATATGAGAAAACTAGAATTAACTCACGGAAATACCTTTTGACGTAACGACAGGTTTTACTTTTGAACTTTGAAGTTAAGCGTGCTCAAACTAGAGCACTACTATGATGTATAATTTTCTAGGAAAATGCCTACATGTATGCCAAAAGATAAAACCATGAGACTCAATATGGGATGGGCTAAAGTGGACATATCTCGAGTGAGTTAATCTAGAGATATTACAATATGATATCAGAGCAAGACCACCTCTAGTAAATGTGTGGTTCATGGATGTACCATGCTGAATCTAGTGAGCTTATAACGATCCGGTCCGCTGAGGGCAGGGGGTGGTCGTGGGGGTCAGAGAGCTCAGATAAGAAGCGGCTCCTAGCAAGCTTATAAGATGACAAATAGGGAATTGCACACCGAATAGAGGGAGAGCGCACTTGGGATATATATGTGTGTGTGTGAAAACTAAAATTAACTCACAAAAGCGCTTTTTGATGTAACGGTAAGCTTTACGTTAAAACTACAAAGTTAAGCGTGCTCAGGCTAGAGCACTACCAGGATAAATAACCTCCTTAGAACTATACGCTATAACGAGTAGAGAATGATCGAAAAATATCGAGGCTTAAGGAAAAAGCTTGTAACTGGTCAGTTGTCATAAATTTTAGGGAACATGACGAAAGTGACACAAATAATTCCTGAACTGTGGTCAAATATGTAATGTCATTCTTAAACTTTTAATTTGTTCAACGTGATCCATGAATTTTATCCTAATGTACAATGTCGTCCCCGAATTTTTTATATATGTTCAATTTAATCCCTGAACTATATAAAAATGTTTAATATTGTTCATGAACTTGAATTAATGAAAAGATAACATTGGATATTTTTATATAACTAGAAATTACATTGAATATTTATCAAAAGTTCAAAGATCACATTTAATTCATTAAAAGTTCAGGCACGACATCATATTAAACTAAAGTCCAACAATCTTTTGTGTGATTATCCCTAAATTTTACTAGGCGGTGGGCATGGAGAATGTATCGAGCAAGAATGTCCAACGGTGGCACCAATATCAGGTGGTGGTTATCTTGATGAGCTGGGAGATTGTAACTACTTACGGACGGGAACAATTAACGTGCCGGAGTGAAGCCTGAAACCTCGAAGAACGTGCGGTAGTGGCCACGGTGGAGCTATAATCGCTTATGTCACGCTGTCGCTCGGCAAATTATGAATACTTTGGTGCGTGTATTGTCTAGGAGGGCCTTTTTAGGCTGAAGTCAAAATCAATGAAATTTTGACTCTTCATGTACTTTGCTCACCGCAGTTTACTTTCTAGTGTACTTCAAATACTAGAATTTATTTTTAGTCCATTTTCAATTTTAAGCCTGGCAATTTTCTTCTTCTTTTAATCTCGGATTTTGCTTCTCGTCTTATTTTTTGGTTTTCCCATGAAGCGTGCGTCGCATCTTAGTTGATATCTTGGCAACAGAGAGATTGCATCGTGTGTACATCATGATTTCGCCCATTCCGTGTCGTTTCCGCACGCGCGCGGGAATAGTAAATACCGGTTTTCTCCCTCTGCTTCCGGCGCTGCTGAATTTCGTTAAAAAAAAAAAAATTCCAAAACCGCGTGCTGCTCCTGCGATCATTCGTCTTATTAGCGAAGGGAAGGGAAGGGAACGGGAGGGCAAAAGGGTCATTCCGTGCACCTAGCCCGGTGGGGCCCCCCACCGGCCCCCACTCGAAACCATTTGCTCCGAGGATGCATGCAAACCGCCACGAATTTTGGGGGTCGCCTCTGGTTTCGTCGTCACCTCGACAGATCAGTGTCGCCATCCCTATGTAAAGAAACCCTACCGCTCTCGTCTTCTCCATCCCCATCATCATCATCAACTTCGCTTCCACAACACCATCTGAAACCCGCGACCGAGATGAGCTCGACGAGCAGAGCGTGGGTCGTGGCGGCAAGCGTCGCCGCCGTGGAGGCCCTCAAGGACCAGGGATTCTGCCGCTGGAACTACACCCTCCGCTCCATCCACCAGCGCGCCAAGAACCGGGCTATGTCCTCGTTCTCTCAGGCCAACGGCGGCAGCAAGAAGAAGCGATCTCCTCAGTCGTCGGCCGCAGCGGCAGCGGCTTCGAGGAGGCTAGCGGGAGAAGCCGAGGCGAGGCAGACGGAGGAGTCGATGCGGAAGGTCCTGTACTTCAGCACTTGGGGTCCGTACTGAGGTTGTTCTCTGAATAGCAGTAGATTAGATCGAGAAGGAAATCCAAGTTCGTTGCTGAGAATGATGTAAACTGTAAATACATGCTGAAATTACAGCAAGGCAATATGTATTACGTGAAAGGACATTTTCCCATTTGCACTATGGCTTATTTACTCGTGTGTAAAAACGTCATTAATCAACGACTTTGATCGACCCGGTTCAACTAGAGACAGGGGGACGACTGACCTGTTCATGCACGAAAGAAATGGCTTTCTGTCGAGGGTGAGGAAAGAATGAAGTTTGGTCACTAAAGTTTGATTCATGTATAAAATATAGTGAAGTTTGGTCACTAAAGTTTGCAAGTGTGCCATAAGAGTGGGAAAAAGTTAGCGGTAGGACAAAGGATGTTGGGCTAAAGGAGAGTCATGCTTTTGCACAAGAGTTAAATCGTAGGGGGAAGTATTTTCACCCTAATTGTGGATTGAGCCATATTTTTTTTTTATTTAAAGTGATAAAATCATCGTTATGCTATCAATATCAAATCATGACATAATCACATGGGAATGGGGAGGTGGGTCCAGTAAAGGTCCGCCCTCAGCTCCTAAAAACAAAGAGGCGTACCAAAACAAATCATGACATATCAAAATTCTCGGCCCAATTTAAAAAAAAACCCTCAACTTTACGCTTTGTCTCAAATATACCCTGAACTTTTTTTTGTCTCAAGAAAAATCACAAACTTTTATCTAAGTCCCAAATCTGCCCTCCCGTTAAAAATCCGTCCAATTGACGTAAGGAAAAAACAGAGAACCGGCAGCTACGGCGGTGGCCAAGCCTTCGCCGGTGGCCGCCGCAACAGCCGTCGGGAAGGAGCGGCGGCCCACGCCCGGGCCTTCCCGAGCCGGCGACCTCGCCGCCCGGGCGAGCCGCCGGCGAGGGCGCGCGCAGCCCCGATCCGGGCGAGGGTCGCGCCTCGCCGGCGGCTCGCCCGGGCCTGGCGAGGGTCGGCGAGGGTCGCCGCCTTCGAGAAGGCCTAGGCGAGGGCCGGCAACCCTCGCCGGCCCCGGCGAGCCGCCGCGAGGGCGCGCGCCCCGATCCGGGGGAGGGCGCGACCTCGCCCCGATCGGGGCCGCACGCCTCGCCGGCGGCTCGCCGGGGCGGCGATGGTCGCCGACCTTCGGGAAGGCCCAGGCGTGGGCCGCCGCTCCTTCCCGACGGCTGTGGCGGCGGCCACCGCCGCAGCTGCCGGTTCTCTATTTTTTTTTTTTTCCCTGACGTCAATTGGACGGATTTTTAACGAAAGGGCAGATTTGGGACTTAGATAAAAGTTTGTGGTTTTTCTTGAGAAAAAAAAAGTTCAGGGTATATTTGGGACAAAGTGTAAAGTTAAGGGTTTTTTTTGGAATTGGGCCCAAAATTCTCTAATTCCAAAATTAGATCAAGTGAGATTGTTGTGGCAAATTTGTCGTGTCATGCAATATCAAAGATACTTGACATATTTATTAATATGCGCTTTTAAATGGTTGAACTGATTTGGAAAACAAAGTAAAAGTTGAAATACTTGAGAGAGAAAATAAAATAGAAGGAGAAGATGATAGTATGGAATTGAGAAGTTCAGAGTAAAACTTGCAATCATACTCTCTTATTTGTGAGGTCAATGGAAAAGTCAACTATGAGAGTGGTTAATAAATATAATTAGACTCTTTGTTTTAAACAAAAAATATATTTTTATAGAAGCACACCTTTTTTATCCACGACTTATAATGGTCAATGGATAAATCAAGAAAAAGAATACGTTGGGGGTAATTTCCACCCTATTTTGAATGGAAAGTAAGTGAATTTTTTCAAGTAATGTTATTATTATTTAGTCGAGTACTAATTTTGTCATTTTAAATTAAAAAGTGTGGTCCCATCCAAACTGGGGTGGAAATGATCTCACCCTAAATCATATTGTATGGAACTAAGGGTACGTTTATTTCATAGAAAAAAAATGATTTGAAAATCATTTTCCCAAAATGATCGCTTGTATTATTTATAAAAATGAAACAAGGAAAGATATTTTTACCGTCTATGAAAATTTTTAGTTATAAATTGTTAACGATAATGAAAGCATTCATTTTCAAAAGGGCGGCGCTATTTCCACCTCTCATATGACTAATCCACTCCATTTTCCATTGAAAAGACAAAATTATCCTCAATGATTCAATTAGAATTTAAAGTGTGGCCCCAAATCAATTTACTTTCCTTATTTTTTTATTTTCATTTACTATTTAGGATCTAGTTACCATAATTAAGAAATTAATGTTTTCCTTTTTATTTTTGGAATTTACTTCTGTAAAAATAAGTTTTGTTGAGTAAAAAAGTGATGGTGATGGACACATAAGTGAAAGTTTATAAATAAGTGATCTTGTTAAAGAAGTGTCTATGTTAAAAATTTTCTAGATTTTACTTGATAACGTAGAAAGAATTAGGTTTCTTAGAAAATTTTATTTTCAACAAAACTAATTTTACGAAAGTGATTGATTAGAATTAATCAATTTTGTAGTTGATCGCTCATTTCTGATTAGAATTGAAAATCATGTTTTTATTAGGTTATTGTTTTTTTGTCTAATGCTGTTTTGCCCATTTTTTGGTGGACCACACTTTTTCCACTCATCTTTTAGCTTATACACTCTTTTTTTGTATTTTGACAAAAGTATCCCTCGTAGCTTCTATTACTTTTGATACAGCTCTCCAAAAGTGATCTTTTTTTTTAGATTATTTGATCAACTTTGTTTCTTCTTTTATTTATTGCGAATCTCACTTTCTTTCTTTCTTCTTTCTTTCTTTTCACGCCTTTGACGTCTCTGTTCTCCGCTCTTGCAAATCGTCTACGCCTCCCACTCCTTCTTCTTCTTCGTCGTCTTCTTCTTCTATACATCTCATCGTCCTCTATTTTCTATCTATGATGCCAACCCTGTCATCCTCCACACTTCAATTATAAAAAGGAGCACTGGTTTTCTCTACCAAAAAATGGGAAAAACAACATTAGAGAAAAAAAACAATAACCTGATAAAAACATGATTTTCAATTCTAATCAGAAATGGGCGATCAACTACAAAATTGATTAATTCTAATCAATCACTTTCGTAAAATTAGTTTTGTTGAAAATAAAATTTTCTAAGAAACCTAATTCTTTCTACGTTGTCAAGTAAAATCTAGAAAATTTTTAACATAGACACTTCTTTAACAAGATCAATTATTTATAAACTTTCACTTATGTGTCTATCACCATCACTTTTTTTACTCAACAAAACTTATTTCTACGGAAGTAAAATCCAAAAATAAAAAGGAAAACATTTAATATATATACAGATTACCCACAATAAACAAAAAAAAACATGAATTGCTTAATTATGGTAACTAGATCCTAAATAGTAACTGAAAATAAAAAAAATAAGGAAAGTAAATTGATTTGGGGCCACACTTTAAATTCTAATTGAATCATTGAGGATAATTTAGTCTTTTCAATAGAAAATGGAGTGGATTAGTCATACGAGGGGTGGAAATAGTGCTGCCCTTTTCAAAAAAATACTTTTTAAATCAGTCATTTTTCAAGAAACAAAATGCTCCAAGAAAAGAAAGAAAAAACTAAGGTGTAATTTCTTTGAACTGCAGAAGGATGAGGTTCAGCAGAGACTGGGAGGCAAACAATACTGTCACCAAGAGCGCATAAACACCAAAGAGGCAAAAGACCAGACCAATAATAGGTTGGTTTGGGACTCCAAAACTTGGGGCGTGGCCGGATTTTACAATTCAGAAAACCGTGTGCTTCTTTTTCGATCGAACTCCAAGTTGGGCACTCAGGTTTTGGTCACCTTTGTCCTCATGAAGCATCTGTCACTACTTTGTCCCGCATGGGCCTCCATAACCACTACTGCCCCCTGTTTTCCCCGAACTCCTTTTTGGCCTCTTGTGCCGCCACATTCATGCATTTAGTACTTGCAATGTACCATCTCATCTTCTACATCTATATATAAGAACCCCATCCATCTCCTCACCCATAAACGCAGCACCAGTGTGTCGTAGTAGATCAGTGATCACTCAATAGTAGTCCCCATAGAGGAGCAAGAGAGAAAGATGAGCATCTCGAGAAGAGCTTGGGTGGTGGCATCGAGTGTGGGCGCCGTGGAGGCGCTCAAGGATCAGGGCTTCTGCAGGTGGAACTACGCCCTCCGGTTGCTGCACCAGCAAGCCAAGAACCATGTCCGGTCGTTCTCGCAGGCGCAGAGGAAGCTGTCCCTGATGCCCCGCGTGCCGGACGATAAGTTGAGGCTGGCCGAGGAGTCTCTGAGGAAAGTCATGTTCTTGAGCTGTTGGGCTCCTAACTGATGAACATTTCGTGCAATTCTCTTAGTTTTGGATTTATATGGATGCCAAAAATGACTGTAAGATGGTATTTAGCAGCCGGCCCTTGTGCCAGATATTGATTAGCAATCGTTACAGGAAGAAGTTAATTTCCAGGACTTATCCAGTCCAGACTTTTTGTAATGAATCTCTAACCTATGAAAGAGTGACTTTATCATAGTTTTCCTGGTGTGTACCCATTTTCATCGCATGTTTTTCCTAGAGGTACTGTTCGATGTAAGGTCTTGATGCCTACTTCATGCCATGTCTAGAATATCTTGTGTCCTTTTTGCTGTAAATGTTTTCTTTATGCGTTTTATTAGGAAGAACATGGTCTCCTTTATTCTTTAATCAAGATGAAATCCACGAGAAATCAAGCAGCTTTCTCGACTAAGTGGGACTTCATACACTTATATCACAGTTTCATCACTCCATATATGCCCCATTCACCCACTTTATGCTCGACTGTGTAATCTAGGAGCGATTTTGATCGTTCTCCAATCATCTTAAGCCGAATCGCTTTGGCGCATATCGATTTAGTCACCATCTCTTTAGCACAAAGCGCAGATCGAATTAACGATTCAATGAATTTGTCATCTATCGACCACATTTGGAGATGTAGCCGGTAAGTTGCTTTGCTCAAAGGTTGTTGATCAAAGACCAATTGGGTCGACAAACGAAAAAAGGGGCCATATGGTCGCCCATCTTCATCCCTTCTTAGAGTAAGAGACTTTTTATAGGTGTGATAGATGTAGGAACATTATCCAAGTACAAATTGATTAAAAATAGATACACGTGATTCCAATATCTGTAACCCGTGAACCCAAAAACAAAATTTTCTCTGAAACGATACAACAAAAACTTTTCTACATCAACAACATCTTGTATGTTGTATCACCAATTAAAGATGCGATATTGCAAAAATAAAGAAATTTCTCTTAAGAATCACATGATCATTTCATTTCAAACCCATATTTCACTCGTTATGAAAGCAAAAGTACATAATCATTTCATTGGATTTCATAGATGACCGTACTGAGTACTAGAAAGCGAGGAAGAGAACCGCCCATTACAGTTTAAGCAAATCTTAGATTATTCCAACGTACTGCTGATGAAAGAGATGGAGGGCCCACGAACTGTAGCAAGATGGGGAGCGGTGGTGGTGGGGATGCATCCAATCTCATTTCCTGTTTGCAGCACCGAGGAAAAAAAAGAACAAATTCGAGTATCATTGCACATCATCATTTCGTGGCGTGCTGGTTTGTAGTATTTCAATGGAGGGTGTGCTTTATCCATTCTTTTCGAGCACAAGCATTCGATCCCACAGCCCCACCACCACCTCCAAAGGCTAGTATCAAAAAGCACTGCACTGGATCGACTTGGGTCGAGCTAGGTCCTCGGATGATTGGTCTACATTGCCAAGCATATTCTCCACCATCTTGCTGTTAACCTGAAGATGTTTTGCATACGTACACGAGAACTGTAGTTTGTATCGAATTGGAAAAGCCATGAATTAAGCGAAGTGGGAAGAAAGCAGATGTTACTGACTCATTTGACCGCTCGAAAGCAAACAACTGGGAGACAATGGGGTGCAGACCAGCACACCTTTCTTGGTACAGCGAAAACAACGTCGGATCCAGCCTCAGAAAAGCATATGCGCGCTCATGATTGAACCGTTTCGTGTCGACACACCTTCTCTTCTTGGCTGTATATCTTCGACTATAAAATACACCCCCGAATCTTATCTTCGCTCGCATACAAAAAGATCTCCCCTTTTCTCCGGCGAGACCCGCGTGCGGGATTCCGGCGACCGATGGCCCTCGATCAAGACAGAGCGGAGGGCGACCACAAGAAGCTGTGGTCGCACCTAAAGATGCCGTTTTGGCAGTCGACAGTGTCGTCGCCGTCGCCCGCCACTTCGTCGGCGGCTCCTGCGTCGTCGTTTCAGCAAAACCAGAGTGCCCACCTCGATCACCAGCTCAGTGATCATCACTCTGCGAGTGCGGTGGCTGCAATGGCGAAGTCTCTGCTTCCCTCGAGGCGAAGACTCCGTCTTGATCCTCCAAACAAGCTCTTTTTTCCATGTAACTCTCTCTCTCTCTCTCTCTCTCCCTCTCTCTATGTTACCTTGCAAAGATCTTTGTTTTATTTGATTTTGCTTTCGCTGGTTGTGCTGGTCCTGTACCAGTCAAATTAGTATGTGAAAATGATGCCGTGTGCAATTTTTGCTTCAGCTATAACGTGATTACTGTTCATCTCTGAGAAAGGTCCTTAGCATTGTTTCTTCCTAATATTTCACTGAATTTCCTGTTTGTTTTGTCTACTGGGTGTTGTTCATTTTCATGCTACAGGTGAGATTGCTTCTTTGCTTGGTAGGCTTTGAGAGCTCTCTCTCTCTCTCTCTCTCTCTCTCTCTCTCATAGCTGGACATGTTCCCTGATTCTAATACATTGTCAGTATTTGAAGTTTAAAGGAATAATTGGTTGGTGTCCCCGTCACTCTTTGCTGATATTTCCAAATAATTGTATTATCTAATTCTATTCGGGGAAAAGGGTCTAATTATTAAAGATACGTTTGTTATATTGCATGATGTGGCCTTGGTTTGGTGATGCTTTTGTTCTCGAATAATGTTCTTTCCTTTGTTTTTCTGTTCTTCATCAGGGCATGTTCTTCTTGAGTTCTTTTGAGCTGCTCTGTCTTCAAATTAGTTGGTACTGAAAGTTCCCAAGTTTGTCCGTATATGGCAATGGTCAATTTGGTATCTTGGATTGGAAATATTTGAGCCTTTTTGAGTCATTTTAAGCTATCCAAAGGCTTTGCTTGCTGATCATGTCTGTGACAATGTGGGCTGAAGTTGCCTCTTAATTTAAGTTATTTCTGTTAATTCTTTGTTTATTTTCAACTTGAAGATGAACCTGGCAAGCAGGTTAGGAGTGCCATCGAGATCAAGAACGTGTCCAAGACTCATGTAGCATTCAAGGTAAGAAGGTGACCTTTGGAAACTGGGAAATGAAATGTATGAGAGCATCTTTCAAGAAGTCAAAAAGTTTGTCATTTACTTGCTGAATCTTTTAGCTCGACGAGAGTCTGGCTTTCAAAATTTAACTTGCATAAGCAGGGCTCGCTCGTCTTTGTGAACATTGTGTGGGCTTTCGACGTTGCATTGTTCGGCATTTGAAGTAGCTTGAACATGTAATTAACAAGTTCTCGACTCTTTCTTCTACCTTTTCAGTTCCAAACAACTGCCCCCAAGAGTTGTTACATGCGCCCTCCAGGGAGTGTACTCGCCCCTGGAGAGAATATCATTGCAACTGGTAAATTTAACTACTGTATCTTACCCGTCATCAATGCGCAAGAAAATCAGAAGTTCATTGTATTCTTGCTTTGATCAGCATGTCTCCGGCGTTTTATACGCGTTCCAGCAATTAAAGTCATTCAGTTCTTGTTTCAAACTATTGACTGATGCAGTGTTCAAATTCGTGGAGCCCCCCGAGAGCGATGACAAACCAGCTAACCTGAAGAGCATCGTTAAGTTCAAAATCTTGAGCTTAAAAGTACATGGGCAAATGGATTATGTCCCCGAACTGGTATGCATTTTAGGCCTTCATTGACTTTTACGTTCATTCAAGTACAGCTAGCACTGAATAGGCATTTGATGGATAGAATGTTTTGATCTTCTTGATAAATATATTTCATTTTCTGCCCGGTCCTCGTTGTGTTGGCCCAACGGTTTATTGCGTGTGGCTAATGTGTGTGACATCGTAGTTGGCGGACATGTCGTAAATGGTAACCAACATTAATGGTTGAGCAAAATATAGACCATTTTGGCTGTTGACCTTGTTCTTCTGTCCCAATTTTATGCAGTTTGATGAACTGAGGGACCAAGTGACAGTTGAGAAAATTTTACGGGTGGTTTTCCTCGATCCAGAGCAATCGACTCATGTAAGGATCTTCCGTTCTACCTTGACATTCCTTTTCCTTTCTTGCTCATCTAGTCATCAGCATAGGATTACAACAAATGCACGATAACAAAGGATGTTGTTTTCACTAATATATTAAGGAGAATGTGGTTTCTCTTCTTGTAAAGTTGATAGAAAAACTAAAGCGGCAACTGGCCGAGGCCGAAGCTGCGCTTGAGTCACAGAAGAAACCTCCAGAAGAGCCCGGCGCAGGTCCTGTCAAGGAAGGACTCGTGATAGATGAATGGGTGAGTCATTGCTACTTTATTTAATGATTCGATCGATCCTAAAGCCAGGTTCGGGATATGTTGGTCCTGTATATATTCTTGATACTCACCCAATAACCGTTTCGACTCTGCAGAAAGAAAGAAGAGAAAGGTACCTAGCACAGCAGCATGTTGAAGGTGTCGATTCGGTTTAAACGGATTGATTCTAAACTTGCGACTTCTTCATGAGGAGATCAAAGCGCCGACGTGTCAACACGCAACGTGAAACCGATGAAAAGTGACTGATAGCAGTATCTTATTAAAGGGCCATAACTTTGGGCAGTGAGAAGTTTGAATTTGTAGTGAGATTAGATGAAGCTGGTTTTGCTGTTGAACCAATGCAGTGCAGGGGCACCAATGTTTCCTTTTGGTCATGCTTGAATTCAGATGCAGATTTTGTTGGGAGAACCTCCTAATATATTTTGAAGTTGACAAAATTGTCCATGAGTATTTTGTAAGTCTGATAAATGCTTTGAAATATTTTGATTCAGGAAGTTATTCTTGGAAGAGAAGCAAATGACAATCTTATTCAGATTGTGAAATTATTTCAAGATAAGAGATTCGGACTTTAGATGATGAGGTTCAGACTTTATACTGCAGATGAAGAGGTTCAGACTTTACACCAAAGATGATGAACTTCCGACACAAGTCCAGAACGTAACACAAGTTCAGTGTTCGAAGTTGAGAACGCACACAACAGTTAGTAATCTGAATTGGATTTCACATATAAAAAGATTCGGTTAACTCAATCTTGAAGATTGTCTTATAACAGTTTAGTACGCAAAACATCTTAATTGATTGATAAATCAATCTCGAGATAAGTCACTTTCCAAGCGAAAAAGCTTTACTTATAGAAACCAAAATGCTGGTTGTATGGGCAATCAGATTTAGCGGGATTCTGATTTTGTCCCTCAACGGCTACGCAATCTTCTTGATACAATTCTATGCAACAGGTAAATTAGAAGACGATCCTCTGGAAACTGTCCAACGGCTAGTTTGAAAGTGGAGGAATATAAAAGGAGAATAACGTGCCGAGAAGCAGTAGTAAGAGACAAGATCAAGAATCTAGAATTCCGAGAGATCTTTAATCTTTATATTTGTCTTTCGTGAGCTTAAATGTGTAATCAATTAAGAGGTGTAGACAATGTCATAAGTGTGTGCTTAGGTGTGAAATAATGTGATCTATCGGCTTGGTATAAGCAACACCAGTTTCGAGGAGAAGTGCTTGGGTTTAAGCAACACAACTTGTTGTAACTTCTCATTGATTTGATTAGTGAAATCCAGCCAGTAGACTGTCAGCGTGGGAGAGTGGACATAAGGTTGATCTAAGCCAAACCACTGTACATCTGTGTGCAATTTTTCTCATCCCTAAAACTCCTTTTATTTAATTAATTGCACATTTATTTATTTGCCATTCAAAACTTGTTCAAAATCTAAACATTGTTCAGACTTTACCTATGATCAATTATTTCCGCTTTAAATTGATCAAAAAGTGTTCGAATAACCTATTCACCCCCATCTAGGTGATATTAGCTAATCTCATCAGATTCTATGTAAGTTGTGATGCAAAAACCAACTATATTAACAGATTAAACTACTAGACTGCAATTGGAGTTGGCAACTCATTCCTTGATTGGGCGAGAAGTTTAATCGAATAATTTGTGGATAAATTTGGTAGATTAATAGAAGATGAACAAATGATTGTTATAGAACCAAAATAATTTAGTATGGTTGAAGTTCTTGATTGCTCCGCTAGTGTTGTACCTACTGATGTTGCACATTGGATTTTATAAGACCCATCGTGTCGAATCCACTCCTATTTTGACTAAATACACGATGTAAGAAATCAAAATAACTAAAAATACCCAAACTATGGGTCCCAAGACCCCGTATCTCTCTCTCCTCATGGCTCGTGGATGGTTGCTTTTAGACTGTTTCCCCATCTCTGCGCCCGCGGCTTTCGAAGACCGCACCACCGCTATTGTTGTGATCAAGGCCGTTTGGGGTAGTCGACCGGATCGAGCTCTATTCGAGATGGTGAGTGCTAACTGCTAAGCAATAGCCTCCATCCCCGAGCATGGGGCGGTACAAGTAGAGAGAGAGAGAGAGGAAGGGAGAGAAAGAGAATGGCTACGCTACGGTCTCTTAAGGGATTGTGGGACCTTCAATGTGGGTTTTTTTTGTAATTTTGACTCCTAAAGGTGTGTGTGAAGCTAAAGTTGGGGTGAATTTACCACCACCAAAACTCCTTTTGTTTTACGAAAAATAAATTATTTAAAAAAAAATTTATAAAAATGATCACTTATAACGCTTGTAAAAATGAATGAATGAAAAATGTTTCATCGTCCACGAAAATGTTTAAACATAAATTGTTATTGATAGTGAAAATATTTTTCATTAGTTAATAATTTCAAGCGGTACAAGCGATCATTTTTAATTATTCATTATTTATGCAATAAACGAAGCCCGAGACTCTTCTTCTTTTATTTATGGGAAAATGACATAAATGGTCTATGAACTTTGGCCTAATACTCAATGTGGTCCTTAAAATTTTAATTTGTTCAATGTAATCACTAAACTATAGCTCAATGTGTAATGTGATCCATGAACTTTCAATTTATGCAATGTAGTCCTTAGACTCTTGGTACATATTCAATTTAGTCATTGACTTATATGAAAATGTTCAATATTATCCATAAACTTAAATTACTGGAAGGACAATGTTGAACATCTTCATATAGTTCAGGGACTAAGTTGAACATGTACCAAAGTCCGGGGACCAAATTGAACAAATTAAAAATTCGAGGACCATATTGCACATAGGGCCAAAGTTCAGGAACCACATTGAACAAATTAAAATTTCATGAACCACATTGCACCTGGAGCTAAAGTTTAGGGACCATTCGCGTCACCATCCCTTTATTTATCTTTCTGTTTTACTTTATATCAATAATTGAAAGGCCAGATCTTATCCCGTAAGATGCTTAATGACAAACTTTGGCAATTTGGCATTGGGTAGTGGATGGAAAAAGATAATGATCAGTCCATTTTGAGGACGATGGTTAGGTCCACCATGATAAGGATAGGCAAGATTTACTTTTTTAATTAGATTTTATCAGGTTTATTTATAGGGGCAGATGGAATCATATCTACTTTCACAACGCTTTAATAAAAACCCAAGTGCCCTTTTTTTCATTAAATAATTAGATCAGTCCACTTATAGATAATTAAAAAAAATTAAAAGGACTTGCAACTAGTCTCTTTTTTAATTCCCCACGTTTAACGGGTCTAATCATATCCATTCCACTGCATGAGGGAAAATTGCTGTTTGGTCCCACATTTTTAGGATGTTTGCAACATGGCCCCTATTATCTCAATCTTGGCAAAGAGCCCCCCCGATGTTTTCAAATTGATATTAATACCTCCCCTTATGTTTCGAAATAATTGTCAACATACCTCTCATCTTTATGGACTTCATTGCAATCATCCCCTTATAGTGATCGAGAGAGCTTAATTTTAACTAAAAGATGAAACAAAATTAGAAAAAGGAACAAGAAAAGAAGACTGCATAGTAATGTAGTTAAAAATAGGCCATTCATATTTTACTTATTTTTACATTTTACTTTCTGAACAAACATACTGCAAATATAAATATCCTTCTTGCACACTAAACAATCATTGGCATCTATGTTTTATGTGATCGCCAATCCAATCATCCAAATTAAATAAAAATCAACAATAAGAAAATAAAAGAATCAATTTTCTTCCCTCCCTTTTTATATTTATGCTTTTATTAATTTTCCTATCGTTTTCCTTTGATGATATAAATTTGCTCTTGCGTCCTCCATGTTTTTTAAGGGATAATGACATAAATAGTCCATAAACTTTAATTCAATGTGCAATGTGATCCGTAAAATTTTAATTTATTCAATATGGTCCCTGAACTTTCGGTAAAGTCCTTGAACTATATGAAAATATCCAATGCTATCCTTCTGTTCATTTAAGTTCACAGACAAAATCGAAATATTTTTTTTATAGTACAGGAAATAGTTTAAACGTGTATTAAGAATTTAATGATCATAATAAATAAATTAAAAATTTGAAAATGATACTATATATTAAGATAAAATTTAAAAATTTTACTGAATAAATTAAAAATTTAAGGATCGCGTTCAAGCATCATCCTTGGAATTTTCTCGCTTTTTTTAACTCTATATTTTGGCTCGCCAAGGCGTAGGAGAAGGACCGAGGGCAGTGGCCCCACGTGAAGAGGGGCGTGGGCGTGCCGGTGGGCGCGGGCGGAGCGGGACGGGAGCTTTTCCACACCCCCCTCGCACGTGTCCCCCTTTCGAGTGGTGGGGCCCAGGCCAGGGACAAAACTGGAAATGCAGAAGTCGAGGGGGTGGGGCCCACACGCGCGAAAAGGGGGCGATGAGTCATGTCTTGTCCTTTCGGATAAGCCACCACCTGTCCCCTCGACCCCCACCTATCACCTCGCAAAACTTTCTTTTTATCTCGGCCCCCACGAGATGGTACGCGATAAAGTGGCGATATTTTCATTCGAGTCCCTCCACCTTTCGTGTAATTGGAGAATGCTACTTTTGATTCGATGGTCAAGGAGAGAGGGAAACAAATTAAATTCCTCTAAATCAAAAAGTGGTATAGACCGTGCAATCTATTTTTAGGCAAAAGTAGGGTTTTGGGGCTGTCGCGGAGTACGTTTGATCCAATTTTACGATACGAGCCACTTGGGCCGCTAATAACAATCATTCTATTTCAAAAATTAATTTCTGATCAGAAATTAATTTTTTTATTTTTATTTCTAAAGGAGTTTCTGAGCAAAAAAATAAGTTTGATAATGATATAAAATTTCTGTTTCAGAAATATAAATTTATTTGATAACGACACAAAATTTCTTCCTCTCAAGTGGCCGGTGAGTGGATGGCGGGGGGAGGCGACGGTGGCAGGAGGAGGGCGGCTGGTGGTCTGCGGGCAGCGGCCCACGGTGGCCGGCGATCGGAGGTGGGCGGCGATCGGAGGAGGGCGGCCGGAGGCGGGAGCGATGGCCGGTTGGACGGCGGCCGATGGCCCACGGTAGCCGGCGGTGGGAGGTGGGCGGCGGCCGAAGGTGGGTGGTGGCGGGAGGAGGGAGGTCGGCGGCGGGACACGATGGGCGGCGGTGGAAGGCGAGTGGCGAAAGGAGGAGGACGGCCGGTGGCGGGAGACGGTGGACGGCGGGTGGCGGGTGGCAGCCTACGGTGGTCGGCGGTAGGATGCGGGCGATGGGAGATGATGGCTGGCAGTGGGAGACAAGCAGCGGCGGGAGGAGGGCTACCGGCGGTGGGAGACAGTGGTCGGTGGACGGCGAGCGGCAATGGGAGGTGGGCGGCAGCCGGAGGAGGGTGGCGGCGGGCGGTGGTCGCTGGCAAGTGGGTGACGGATGGGCGACCGACTAGTGGCGAGGGTGAACAATGAGAAGAATTTTAACTTCTTATTTCTGTTCCAGAAATAGAGAAGCAAAAAATTTTAACTTCTGATTTCTGTTCCAAATCTATTTCTAGAACAATTTTTTGTTTCAGAAATAGAAATTAAAATTGGGCTACCAAACGGATTTCTGTTCCAAAATCTATTTCTGAAACAGAAATAGAGAAACAGAATGGTTATCATTCGCAACCTTAAAAGCTTTGTTTTAGAGGGCGATGGGAGCTTTCGTTTTAGCATGTTGTGCGATTTAAATTTGACGTGGACTCACGGGTACCGGATGGTTTGAGATTTCTATGGGCACGTTTGGACTCGTGGGCAGTAGAGGGTTTGTCAAAATTCCAAAGAAAAGAACCGTCCGCCTCAGATTCTTAATCACTTTCGCTTCCTTTCGACTTTACTTCGTTCATATGTATTTTCCCCAAAATGAATGACAATAGGTATTATTGATCAAAAGAGAAAAAAAAAAACCTCGTGGGCATCAAAGACTGTGCAATTTCAACTTAATGCAAATCAAATAAAAGGAACGGAAACCCCTATTTTGATAATGTTCCAGCAGCTTTTGATTTTTATTAAGATCTCTGAAAAGTGATTATTGACTTGTTGAAGATGTTCGCTAAGTTGCTCAGTCCCTACAGGGAAAAAGGCACTATATTAAACTAAAGATCGACCGATTGTTTAATCATTGTCAATCGAATTCTCAAATATATGGTCTATTGATTTTTGAGATTATAGTGTGTAAAGAGGAGGCTATATTGTCATTGCGCAAATCATTGAACACTCCTAGCCTAAGAACTGATTTGATCATGCTCACCTTCCTAAGGCGAGAGCAGTAAGTGTTTGCCTTTGCCACATAGAGAGAGACACCCTTGCCCTATATGCGAGGTGACGAAAATTCCTAATGAATACGCACGAACCGAAAAGAAACTAGTTCGTATTGATTCGAGACTACCAATCAATCATAACAATAGATAACTCCAAATCTATTGTAAATTCATTTTCTTACGTGATTGGCAATTTTATATATAATGTGTGAAAGGTTCTTGTTATTGAATCACAACACCAATCATAAATTTAGTAACCTTACAAATGATAAAAAATAAAAAGAGATCTTGCATATAATGTATCGCATCCTATACCATTACTACTAAGGCTCCGTTTGTTTGGCGGAAAATATTCTCCTTTTGGAAAATATTTTTCCGGAAGTCATTTTCTTGAAAAATGTTTTCCCAAAACATAATTTTCCGGTGTTCGGCGACCAATATGAAAAAGTTTCGGAAAATATTTTTCACCGGCGACCGGCGGCGACCGGCGGTCGCGGCTGCAGGCGGCGACCGGCGCGCAGCAAGCGACGCAAGCCAGCCGGCGGGCAGCAACCGTGGTGCGAGGCCGGATCGGCCCATTGGCGGGCCGGCGGATCCATGCAGGCTGCAGCCCGGCGGCAGCGGCGGCGGCGGCCTACGACAAGCGGCCGGCAGCGGATGCGGCGAGCGGGCGGCGAGCGGCGGCGGCGGCGACCCGGCGGCGGCCAACAATGGTGGCCGGCGATCAACTTCCTCTCCCACGGAAAATATTTTCCCTCCCATGGACAATTTTACCTTCAATTTGGGGGAAAATGATTTTCTCTTTGTGAAAAGAGGAAATCATTTTCCTCAAAATAATGAAGGATTTGAGGATGGGGAAGGAAAACATTTTCCGCCCCCGAACATCGAAAAACGCGAAAAATATTTTCCGAAAAAATATTTTTTCGCAAACGAACACGGCCTAAATGTAAAAATTGGGGTCGTTTCGCGTTTCTCCTTCTGATTTCTAATCCACGAGACGAGAAAAAGAGAGTAAAACTGGCGCACGAGATATCGAATTTCTCCCCACCTCGAATGTCTCGTTTGGACAGTAGCGACCATTATTGCTCGCATCCAGATAAACCACCCGAAAATGACAAAACCGCCCTCGATCCTCCCCCTCATCTCCGGTTTCCGGTTTCCCAGAAACCGCTCTTCTCCCTCCTTCTCTCTCTATAATTGACGCCTCGCCTCGCTATCTTCTTCCACTCGAACCCACCAAACACGATCAAAGACTAATATCCATCGTATCTTACGACCACCCACTTGCGAGAACCGGTCTTTCCTCGCAACCCAGCCTTCGAATACCCCAGAAGACCTGCAAAGATCCCACCTTTCGTTAGAAGGAAGAAGCAGCAGCGGAAGGGAAGATGAGTTACTTGAACAGGGCGTGGATGGCCGTCGGCGTGGCGGCGGTGCAGGGCCACTCGGACCAGGGCATGCGGCTCAAGTCCGGCCTCAAATCGGTCCAGCCCGGGAAGAGGCGGCTCTTCTCCGGATCCGACTCGGCGGACCTACGGCCGCTCGCCGGGGCCGTCGGGTCGGGGCTCGACGGGGCGGCCTCGAGGGGCTGCCGCGACGGGGAGGAGAGGCAGCGGCAGGCCGACGAGTCGCTGAGGAACGTCATGTACTTGAACTGCTGGGGTCAGAGCTGAAGTGTTTGAGATTTCCAGAAGTGATCTAATCTGTTTATGGAGATGCGATGATGAGAAGAGAAGCCCCGGTAGATGAATCGAAACGGGGCGGCTCTGAGTTGACCCGGGGTTGACTGAGCTTGAGTGGTCGGAATGTTTGGCAGACGAGACGATGAAACATTCGGACTTGTTGGAGCTTGGGAAGCGAAGAAGATAGATTTACATAACCAAGTGGAGGGTTGTGAATTTGTGGTTGTAAATATCTTGAGAAATGGAAAGAAAGAAAAGAAAAAAGTAGACTTTTTCGGTTCGACAATTCTATGATTTGCTCTGTTTTTGCTTAATTTTTTAGTGTTGGTACCTGGAGTGGGATCCTTTACATGCTGTGACTTAATCTTTAAGGGCATACTTAAAAACTAACAGCTGAGAGCAAAAGAGGAAAAAGTGGAACAGATCTGAAGTAACAAGATCTTTTTTATATAGGTTGACGTTATTGATCAGCAATACATGAATGTTACGAGATGCTGTCGATCCTCCGATTTTATTGGAAAGAATATCAAGGTAAATGGTCTCATACAAAACAAGCTTCCATATAAGTCTGTTATTGATCAGCAATACATGAATGTCACGAGATGCTGTCGATCCTCCGATTTTATCGGAAAGAATATCAAGGTAAAAGGTCTCATACAAAACAAGCTTCCATATAAGTCTGCTACTATGGAGTGATTTGAGAGCTCTTGAATTGAACCCAGGTCATTCATGGGACAATCCAACACTTCCCAAGGAGATGAAAGAGATAAGGTAACAGCGCTATCAATGGGACCTCATTTTCAGATTCCTCCAAGCTGGTTGGCCCTTTCGTCCATAATTGTTCTCTCGGCCTGGATCCTCATCTTCGAGTTTGTGTTTGCCGAGGGCTTCGCTCAGATTCGATAAAACTGCGTTTTGCTCTGTTTTTTGCTTGCTTTTTGAGTGGTGGTACCTCGGTTCCTTTCCATGCCACGACTTAAATTTATAAGGGCATACTTAGAAGTTAACAGTCGAAGCAAAAGATGAAGAAAAGGGACCATATCTGAAGTAACAAGCTGTTATGGAGAGATTGACGCCATTGATCAGAAACACGTTAATGTCAGGAGATGCTGCTGTCAATCCTTAAACTTTATTGGAAGGAATATCGAGTTGATGGTCTCATTCGACATAATGGTACCGAGTCGCCAGCTAGAATAATGTACGAAGAACGAAGCTTCTATGTTAATCTGCCAAGTGGAGTGATTGGAGAGCTCCACAGGCCATTCATGGGTGCTCTGTTTTACCTATTTTCGGCCGTTTTAGTCAATAACGGGACAAATTTAATCCTTCCCAAGGAGATGAAAAAGAGAAGGCAACAGCACTGAGAAGACAATAAAAATCAACGCATTTTGGACTAACGGTAAACAAATCGTGGAAGGGTCGATGCAATTTTAGAGGGGGCTCGTTATGGCCGGTTCTCTTTATTTACCATATAAGTCTTTACGAAGCTCTTTTATGAGGGGTCGTTTTAACCATTTTCTTTTTTAAACCACATGATGACCTGGAATTTGCTGGGGAATGCGCTGCTGCCCCCTAGATTTGGGGGAATTCCTATGGTCAACAACATTGATACGAACGCTAGACCCAAGAAGGAAAACCTACAAATTCTGAGGAAGTAAGAGAAGAGAGAGAGGAGGAAGAGAGACGAGGGAGGGAAGGTATGGAAGGGGACAAAGAAACAGAGATGGTCAAACTTGACGTGGAGAATGCAATTCATTCTCTTTCGTCAGAACATGAAATCCCTCCACCTTTCCTCCCCCAAATACCGAAAGGAGGGTGGAGATCCATATTTTACATTCTGGGTAATGTTCAAGAGCGTTTCCACATTTTACGATTCGTTAATTATCGGCATGCATTCTTGATAGCAGTATTGGAATGGTTTCTTGGATGCAATTCTGATACTCTTCCTGTTGTGGTTGGTCTTGGTTTGGTGATGTAGGGAATGAGTCTTTTGAGAGGCTGGCTTCGATGAGCTTGATAATGAACCTGCCGGTGTATCTGAAGATGAAGTACAACTTGTATGGAGTGTTCTTGATCAATGTGGTCAGTATATGGTCTGGTTGCTGCAACATATTGCCTCTGGCTGGTGCTTTTGTTGCTGAGAAGTATCTGGGCCGGTTCCGAACTCTCCTGCTCGGCTGCACGGCTTCTTTCCTGGTATATTTTCAGTCGACCAGTCTTTGAAATATCATCAAAATTAGAGAATGAATTGTTCCTAAAAAATATCAGTCGGGTCTCGTACTTTGAAGAACATTTTTTGGATTAATTAATAGCTGCTGTAAGTCATGTTATATACGTTCCAATTTCATGAGGACTGAGGGCATCATATTAGGGGCCATGCAATCCCAACCGACCTAACTACGTTGCTTTTCCAGGGAATGGGGATGATGATACTAACTGCATCCATACCTCAACTAAGACCCTCCGCTTGTAATTCTCAAACCGATTGCCAACAGCCAGATTTCGGTGACCTGACCTTCCTATTTGCCGCTCTTGGATTGGTTGCCATTGGTGCCGGAGCCATCAGACCTTGTTGCATCGCTTTTGGAGCCGATCAGTTCCAAGACACCACGGAAAAGGGAAGAAAGCAGATGCAAAGCTTCTACAACTGGTGGTACTTGTCATTCACGGCCACACTGATTATAGCACTCTTGGTTGTCGTCTATGTCCAAAGCAAGATCAGTTGGGTTGTAGGTTTTGCCATACCTACCGCTTGCCTTGCACTTTCTGTGTTCATCTTCTTGCTAGGCCGCAACACGTATATTAAGATTGAGCCTCAAGGAAGTGTCTACTCCAATATGGTCAAAGTGATCGTGGCGGCTCTTCGTAAGGGCCATTTAGCTCATAGAGACAAGAACAGGATGCCCTTTTATGATTTTCCTCTCGATGAGTCGGTGCCACAGATCAAGAAGCTTGCTCACACAGATAGGTTTAGGTGTCTTGATAGGGCTGCTATGATCGCTGATCCAGGTGAGTTGAACAATCAAGGAATAGCCAAGAACGGTTGGAGATTATGTTGCTTACAACAAGTGGAACTGTTAAAGTCTTTGGTGGCAATTGCACCTGTATGGGTATCGGGAATTGTCTGTTTCCTAGCCATGGACCAACAGAGTGTAAATGGGATACTTCAGGTGTTTCAAATGGACCAATCAATGGGACCTCATTTTCAGATCCCGCCAAGCTGGTTGTCCGTGTGGTCCATGATTGTTCTCTCAGTGTGGATCCTCATCTACGAGTTTGTGTTGCCAAGGGCTTCGCTCAGATTCTCAGGTAAAGAATGCAAAAGGCTGACCATAGTACAGAGAATCAACATAGGTATTGTAATGGCCATTCTCTGCATGATAATAGCCGGGGTTGTCGAGGAGAAGCGGCGATCTTTGGCCTTGCAAAATGGATCTTTTGTTTCGCCAATTAGTGTCGCATTTCTCTTGCCACAGTTTGCGTTGTCAGGGTTGATAGAAGCTTTCGCGGCTATAGCAATGATGGAATTGCTCACGTCCCATGTGCCAGAGAATTTGAGGACTGTAGGCGGGGCAATTTTCTTTCTCTCATTATCGATCGCAAGTTATCTGACATCTTCTCTTGTGAGTGCCATCCATGGCCTGACCGGAATGAATGGGAAGATACCATGGATAGGCGGTCGAGACCTTAACGAGAGTAGGCTTGATTACTATTACTATGTCATTGCTGGCCTAAGCATTGTGAACTTGGCATACTTCAATCTCTTTGCCAGGAAGTTTGTGGGTAGAGTTGGCGTTGGCGGCGAGGTCACGTAGGTCAAAGAGTCCTTAAAGCATGTCTCTGTAAATGAGGTAACGGAGCTTGCCCTTGGCAAGGGTTCAGTTCTCTCCAAATCTCCTAGATTTTTTTTTGCCTTATTTCCAGCTCGTGCCAATTGGTCGAGCTTGTGATGAATCATCTCCAATACATTTCTTGTGCCATTACCCCAACTCAATCCACTAGGTTAAGCTCTTGATAACTCGTCTCGAATACCTTTTGTGTTTGAAAAACGAAACTTGAATTATGACGATACTTCATACATCGAGTTTTGAATGAGCAGGAATTTGGAATGGGCAATGTGGCAGTAATTGTAAAAGTTACTGTAATGATATCCTAGTGAAGTATCCCATAAATGGTGCTTTTGACAAGAACGATGACACTAGAATGAGTTCGTGTTTTTGGCTAACAATAATGTGAGTCGTACATCATGATGGACAACTTGTGCTGATACTTGCGAAATCGTTTGTAGCAAAATGGTCTCTGCCAGAACCTAATCAAAAGACCTTGCGTATCGCATTCATTTCAATAAGGAACTTGTGTTAGGACAACGAGAAATTATATTTCAAGAGAGAATCCTTTGCAAGGGTAAAAAAAGAACATGTTCTTCACAATATAAAAGCAGAGGCGGGTTCCGCAGCTGTGCTACCTACACAATACTGTCAAAAATAATGAAAGTGATCCAATCAAGATGTCATCCTCGGTGGATTGTAGAATTCCCAATATTCTCTTCATCTTGTTGCTTTTTTGTATCCTCAATTCCCTCTCACTTGACCCGTAAAGAACAAATTGAAAAGAAACTGAGAAGCTCGACGACTTACAAAAATTATTTCATTGAATAGACGAGTCAGGTGAAACATATTAAAAAAGGTATAAAAAAAAAATCAAGATCTGTGTCAAACGCCAACAGTTGCACAAAATCTTCCAGCTCTGCACCAAGGATACATACATACAGATGCACAATAGATTCTTGGGAATCACCGAGTAATCTCACACAGGCAAAGAGAGGCTCCTTTGATTTGCAAGACTGGGCTTTATCTCCCACGAAGTGACCTGTTGTGCTTCTTCTGGAAGTATAAAAGGCAAAGAAATCTCGCGGATCATCAAGTCACCACAGAAAGGGCATTCACTGGCAATGGCATCATCCAACTGTGACCGCAGCTATAGATTTAAAAACAAAACACAGAATGATCAAATCAACTTGTTACTGTAAAATTGTCGGAAGACACGAAATTATCAAGGACAATAGGAAATAATCATAAATTCTCAATCCAAAATCCTTTAGAGCTTATCAAATGAACATCATGATGAGTCGAAAGCTAACCTTCTCTGCTGGGGTCACGCTCGTGATGGATTCTTCGTTGATGCCATTAGTTTGATCTCTCCGCGTTTCACTACCCAATAGGGTAAGTTGCTTCTGCAGGTCTAATATGTACTCTGCCTGGAAAATAATAGTTTGAAAATGACAAAATTATTGGAGAAGCTCCATAAAATACAAGCCTCAACCCAAATTCTTGAAGAGGTTCTGAAAATATAAGAGGCTAACCATCGGAGAGAAACTAAAACATAGAATTCTAAGGAAAGATATCTATAAGGTCATAACTTCCAACTTCACTATGCCTTTATGCTATCTTGATCACAGCAGATGAAGTTAATTAAGAAAGCCACGGTCCATTTCTAAAAATCGATTTTTTTTTATACAGGAGGAAGAAATAACTCCTATCCATTAATATTCGCCAATATCCAAGTTCGGAACATACAGATAACATCTTTAATTACTGCAAAAAGAACATCTCTACTTCCACTTAAGTTAACTCGAGATATAAGACTACAGGGTTATTTCAACTTCAACTGCTCTTTGAACATCCAATCCTATGAGCTTTACATTACATATATTAGATACCTTTGTCAAGTTAATGATAGATAACTGGAAAGAGCACTCATTTAGCATATAATGTTAAAATAAGCAGAACTTCAACTTACTTGGGCTTCATTAGTACAACGTGTGACATGAGCTATCAAACATTCCGCATGGAAAGCATGTCCACATGGAAAAACATAAAAAGGAGCCATTGGTCCAGTTGATGTATAACCCCTAGTCATTCGATACTCCCCGCTCACAGTCAGAATTTTACGTCGGCAAACCTGATAAGTTGTATTGATTTATCATAATCAGCAAGTTCATGAAGACAGGCAAAGGTAACTTTAAAACTCTGATAGGAGCAGCAATGAAATGACAGAGAGATAATCAACCAAGTTAATGGAAAAACTGATGCAACATAGAACCTTCACAGCGCAAAGTAAAAGGAGCTAACTAGCTCAATAAAACAAATGTGAGAGCTGATAACAACCTGAGACACCTGAGACAAATGGCAACAAGACAAACCAGTGATTTCTTGCTGCTTATTATACACTCTTGTGCCACACCACTCTAACATCATAAGCACCGTAGTTGCTTCTCTGTGTACTCTCTTAAGGTTGAGTTTACTTATTGTTCAACAAAAGTTTTAGTTCAACTAATTCTAGACTACAAGTATTGCCATATACTTGGTTTTTATTATAAGAGATAAGATCATTGTCATTTTACCTGCAGCTAATTTCCAATCCAAAAACTTTCATCTAAATTTGCAATTGTTTATTGTTTGTGGCAAGTATTGAATCCTCATCACACGATCATTTATATAAATAACCATTTGATTGAAAGTTTTTCTTTCAGCGTTGACCCATCACATTCCCTTGTGTCTCATCAATGGTAGGCAATCTTCCTTTCCTTCTCTTCTACATAAATTCTCTCCGGTTGAAGTGAAAAGTTGAGTATATACTCCAGATACTTATCACGATTGATGCTTTTATCAGATTTTCTTCTTGTTGAAAATAACTAGTAATTTTGAAAAATTTACTCTTTCCACAAGAATCTGTTAGTAACTTTTGACTATTTCTCGCGTACTTCTAATCGTCGGCCCATTGATTTCCTTTTACTCTGTCTCTAATAGTTGTCAAACCAAAAGTCAAACTCCAATCTTGAAGGAGTTCATCTCATCCAATCAATTCCTTTCAATTAACTTTCCCGCTGGCTAGTGAGTATACAAAAATCAAATGTGTCCTCAAATGAAGTCAATGAAGATGTAAACTTATCAAAAGCATCATAAGTTACATACCCCACATTCCTCGTCACGTTCAATGACAGCATATCTTTGAGCAAGTGCGCTTATATCATTTCTGATATTGTCTGCACCATGCGTTGCATCATTCATCTCCTCTTTCAGCTGTTCAATTTGTTTGTTGTAATCCTCCAGTGATGAACATATTGCCTCCTATACATTTATAAGAATAAAACTTACAGATGACCAAAAGCAAATTAGACAAGTGAAGGCACATACGTGGTTACTCTAGAATAGGTATGCATTGATAAGCCAGTCTAAGCATATGATAAAAAGTCTCGATCATGATGAAAGATTAATATGTGAGTAACAAGGGAGCCGCATACGAGCCATTAGACATACACCTACCACTTCACAGTGTAGGTTCAATAGCATTTTGGTTTACTTTTTCGGGGGGAATAAAGTACCAGCTACAAATGCAACAGACCACATTCTTTCAGCAGAATGTTAGAGTAAGAAGCAGAAAAAGGGTTTGTGATAACATATATCTACCTTGAAGTCATCAATAAGGGCAAAGTCTGGAAAAAATGGCAATATATCCTCTATCTTTAAAAGACCGTCAGTTTCTTTGAGAAATGCTATTGCTCTCCGAATGTTTTCCCTCTTCGCTCCTTTTTCCTGCTCAACAACATGCTTGGCAACCATAAGCCAAAGCTTCTTTCTCAAATCTTCATCATCTTCAACTTTGTCAGCTTCAGCCATAGCAAGCTCAGGATCAACCTGATTCACCAAAGGAGATTCTTAACCGATCGAAGTGAAAGTCCTTAAAGTGCTGAAGCAATAAAATCAGCCACCAAAAGGTTTACAAGGCAAACAGTCTGCTAAAACAGCGCAGACTAGTGCAATCATTGCACATATTATACAATCAAGTAAATGTGATCGTACTGGCAAACTGGGGATGACAGTAAAATAGAAGAGTATCGCAAGAGCTTGTGATGACAAGGTATGATGAGGAGAAGATTAAGAGAGTTCCTGCCATAGTCCCAAGAGCTATTAAACAAGGCCCAAAATATTACGGTAACTGACTAAGTGTTCATGGAAATGAAAGACCATAAAACTTCTTGGAATTCTGTGATACATGCTAAGAGTAGCATTGATGGGAATAGCAGTCAAGAGGCTATCTGCCAACTTAATGAAGATTTCCTCCACAGGGTCCTTTCAGTCTCAACCAACTGAAAACCACAGAAAGACAACCATAATCAAGGTAATAAAACCAGCATAAGATATATTTCCTCACAGAAATTTCCGGGAGCAACTTATTCGTATATATTACAAAAGATGAGATAATTCAGGGAAAATGATGACAGATAACCTTCTGCCAGGAAAATAAGGATTGCATGAAATCAGCACAGCTCAAAAGAGTGTAAGGCTCATAAAGTCTTCGACAAAGAAGAAAAAAACTAACAGATAATGTGAGAAAAGAAAAGATGCTACAAACCAGTGATAAAAGCCCTCAGGGGAAAAGCATAATTGAAGTCAGATGATGACTAGGAACCAAAAAATACCTGCAGAGCAAGAGCAACTGCTTCTTCATGCATAGACATCATACTGTATATATGAACGCAGGCGCGCATTCGCTTTTCTTTGAGGCAAAGGCGCAAGGCATACTTGGGATCGTAAAAGAATTCTGGACCATTTTCTCGTCCTTTTCCGAATTTGCATTGTAGGAAGCGCAGAAGGGCACTATCATCTTCCTAATCATCATGATAAAGCAAACCAATAGTCATACTTAATTCTCCCATGCATTTAAACATATCATGGCACTACTCTGAGTTAAAACTCTCCTTGCAACTTCAAACGGCAAATCATTCATCTTTACTAGTTAGTAGTTACTTATAAGACTTGGAAGCTACATTATGTACTTAGTCCATTGATTCAAAAATTAATTTGTGATTAAACCGTAGAAAGGAGATATGCATGTCATAAGATGCCTTGAGAAGCAGAAACATTACCAATGCAGAAGGTAGTTACAAAAAAAAAATGGATGGAAGGTAGGCAACTACTTAGTTAAA